TCTGAGGAAGGTTTCTTTTAAGCTTATTTTAAATCCAGGCCAGAGTGCATTTGGAAGCAAGAGGAAAGGGGACCCTTGAAGATGACAGACCAGAGCAGGCAGAGGAGATGGGCTCCTGAGCACCAGTGGGGATTGAGAAATGAGACCGAGTGGCTGGGTGGGGAGAAGATGGGCAGAGAGACCAAGGCTGGTCTGAAGAGGAATTGGAAAGTTAGGGATTCTCAAGGATTGGAGCAATAGAGGAGGTTTACCGTTGCGACCACTGTGTTTAAGTCATGCCTCATTAGTTCTGTGAACTTGGGAAAATTTCCCTGAGCCTCAGTTTCCTCCTCCTCCTCCTTCTGTAAAGTGGGATGAGTACCAACTTCCTGGGTTGGTTGTGTAAATTAAAGGGAAAATGCACAGAAATCACGCAGCACACAGTAGGTGCTCCACAATGCCACATGCATAAACCCATCCCATACAGCAAATCTCCAGATCCACTGTGAAAACACTCTCATGCTGATCATGCTATCAGCGGATAGTTACACACATTATTTAATGCGGTTTTTACTTTATTTTGTTATTAATCCTCACCTGAAGATATTTTTTCCATTGGTTTTTAGTGAGAGTGGAAGGGAGTGAGGGGGAGAGAAACACTGATGTGAGGGAGACACATCTATTGGTTGCCTCCTGCATGTGCCCAACTGGGGCTGGGGATTGAACCTGGAACCCAGGTACATGTCCTTGACTGAGAATCGAACCCATGACCTTTCGGTGCAAAAGCTGACAATCTAACCACTGAACCACACTGGCCAGGACTTAATGTAGTTTTTTAAGAGAAGATGTTTCAAAGCATATTTTTGAGGGCAGAAGACTAATCAAAGAGATCTTTGTGATGGAATGTTTAAGCTCAGAGGTGTGGTGCTACTCACCTAAGGTGGCATGGTGAGTCAGAGGGAACACCAGGACTTAAACCTGGGGCCCCAGTAGTGAGGTCATTCCCCTTTGCACCTTACTGCCCTGGAGAAAGGGGTGGGTGGGCAGTGTTCGGCCTCTGACTTCTGCCTGTAACCTAAGGCTTTTAAAATAGCTTCCAGGCATTTGGCTTACTTCCAGAAGTCCACCTGGGCTGCTCCGCAGGCGCTGGCCAGGAAACATCTTATATATGAGGCAGCTGTGAGGGGTGTGGGTGTGGGAAGGCTCCTTGGAGATGAATCAGCACTGCCTTTTCCAGTGTGAGTCAGGTGCAGGGCCTGGCGAGGGCTGGCCCACTGTAACACGAGGAAGGAAAAGAGTGAGCAGGGAGAGACCAGCCTGTAATGGCATGTCTCAACCACCAAGGGGCACGGATCAGCCGGGCAAAACCCGGCGGCTGCTGGTGGAAAAATCTCTGGTGTGAGTGTGCATGTGTGTTTGTGTGAGAAAAACTGGGATGTGTATGTGTGTGCGTGTGTGTATGAGAAAAACTGAGATGTGTATGTGTGTGCGTGTATGCGTGTGTGTGTGTGTATGAGAAAAACTGAGATGTGCATGTGTGTGTGATTGGAGGACGTGAGGACCCAGCTTCTTAGGCTGGGCATGGGCAGAGTCGCTGGCAAGAATGTGCCCACTGCCTGTGTCTCCGCTTCTCTGCCTTCATGGAGAAGTAAAAAATCAAGAAGGGGATTGGATTCTAGGGTTGGTTCTAGCCAACCCTCCTGTTCTGCCGAGGGGAAGGGAGTGGCTCAAGATCACACAGCAAGTTAATGGCAAATTAACGTGATTTTCAACAGTCTCAGTCACATGGCCACTTGACGGGCAACCTCAGGCCTCAGTTTCTAGGTTAGAGACAGGTCTCTAGGTGGGGCTTCTCTCTCTCTCATCTTATTTCCTTCTTCCTCATATTTTCTCTATTTCTGTGACTATTTTTCTTTTGATCTTTTCTACCAGTTTCCATCGGACTGCCTCTGTGTTTCTCCTTCCTGTCTCCATCTGTCCCGGACGGGGAGTTTGCTCATTGGGTCCCTGGAGTAAGATGTTTCCTGCAGTCATTCCTCAGGGATTTGTAGCTCTCTGAGCTCTGTTTTCCAACCCAGGGTCTCAGTTCCGCTCCTGGGATCCAGAAGAGAAGTTATGACTTGATAACATAACTCGGGGAGGTGAGAAGCCCTTTCGTCTCCTAAATATTACCCTGGTGCCCCCTCCCTCGTTGCCATTCGGTAACCATAAACATCGGTTGGCACCTGGTGTGGGAGAAACCCTTTGCTCAGGCAGAAATGAATAAGACCCAGTTCCCGCCCAGTGAGCTCACCATGTGGGGGTGAGGGCAAGAGAAGACAAGTGATTCAATCTAGACCAGAATGCTCTAAGTTCAAAGGACAAAAGGAATGCCTTATATGGGACAGAACAGGTAGAGGTGGAATCTGGTTGGGCCCGGGGAAGGCTCTGTGAAGTAGATGGCATATAACCGGCCTTTGGAGGCTAGGTGGGAGCTCAACAGGATCCCTCTGTACATTCTGAGCAGAGGGATGAGCATGAGTAAAGGATTTTGGCCACACCAAGTGCAGTATCCACACATTCAAGTCACAATGAGCAAGGCAGTTATGATATATGCAGGGGAGATTAGAAAGCAGGTGGGGACCAGAGCCTGAGCACCTCACTGCTGGGCTTCTTAGCAGAGCCAGGGGGACACCACTGCCATTTTTGAGCAGGAGTGGCATCTGCTGAAGTCCTCACTTAAAATGGAAGAACTTCTGAGAAAAACAATGCATTGCACCTGTTGATGAGCACAAAAGGGTCAGGAGGCCTGGACTAGAAATAAAGGACAAAGATTTAGTCTCGGATCGTAGAATTTGCAAATGGAAAACACAACTAGGCAATACCATGAGTATTCTGAAGAAGAAAGAAAAGCTGAGGGTTCTTACAGAAAAAAGTACATTTTTTCAAGCTGACAATGCAGAACAAGCAGTCCTGCATTCTTAGCCTCTGGATTGTTCTGTGACAATAATCTTCCAGATGTTCAGCAGTCTGGATAATGGATGTCAGGTGTTCCGGATGCATGGACATTCTTTCCTAAGTTTTTCATTCTTCTCTGAGTCCTTCAGAGGGATATCTGTAGGAATTTATATGTCTCTAGGCATTGATGCACAACTGGAACGTTTAAAAGTTTAAGTCCTCAGGCTAGTTAAAGTAAAATAAAATATATTCCTCATGCTTCGGCCCATTTGGTCTGAACCAGTTTTGACTATAAAGAATCTATTTTAAATCAGCTTAGCTGTACTGACTCCATGTTGCTTTCTTCACTCGATCCTTACCCTCCTCTGCTGGTCCTTACACTCAGGGTAAAGTATTTTTATTCTAAGCTCTATGTGAAATAAGTTTGGATGGGGAAGGGCAGTAGCATGGGATGTTTAAGTGTCCTAGGAGGAGGGGACACTGGGTGGTGTGCAAAGGTGTAGAAGAGGACACTTGGGCTCCAAGGCCTGACTCTGTCTGTGATACTGGGATGGCCCCCAAGTCCCAAGGTGACTCCCAGGAAGGGACCAGTCTGGCTTCACATCTGATCCTAGCCAGTTCAGTCTGAGCTCCTCTGTGGAGTGGTAATCCAGAGCTCCCAGAGTGGGCCGCGAAAGGGTCCCTGTATCAGAACTCTCCTCCCAGGCAGGGTTGCGGTTTCTGCCTGCTGCCCTGCCCTGGGGGAGGGGGGTGGTGAGGGTGCTTCTGAGTCACTGCCTGGGCATCTGGGCTTGCACCATGGTGAGTCACCCAGGACTGGGGGGTGGATTGGAGGAAGGGTGGGGCTCTGGGGAGGGCCAGAAGCTGCTGGACATCTGGAGGGAGGAGGAGAGCTGGGCCTGCAGGAAGGGCGGTGCCCAGACTGGGTTGGGGTTGAGGAGAGACCAAGAGCAGTCGGTGAAGTGGGACTGGGAGGGGGCAGCATGAATCTGGCTTAGAAAGCTGTCCCACCACTCCTCTTAACTCCAAACAGACTCCAATTCTAAGCAGAGACATCTCCCTTTGTGTCCCTGTCTCCTTCCAGATCTTTTCCTACCCAAGGTATTTTTAAGCATACCACTTTCCTTATTAACAGGCATTCTGGTGCTGGTTACTATTTATTTATATTTATTTATTTATTTATTTATTTATTTATTTATTTATTTATTTATTTATTTATGAGAGGGAGAGAGTTAGAGAAACATTGATTTGTTGTTCCACTTATTTATGCATTCATTGATTGCTTCTTGTACATGCCCTGACCAGGGATCAAACCCACAACCTTGGCGTATTGGAATGATGCTCTAACCAACTGAGCTACCTGGCGAGGGCTTCTGGTAGTGGCTATTTTTTTTTTCTTTTAGTCCTTAACTGAGGATGTTTTTCTATTGATTTTTTAGATAGAAAGGAAAGGAGGGAGAGAAAGAGAGGATCAAATCTGCAATCCAGGTACATGCCCTTGACCAGGAATTGAAACTTCGACCCCTCTGTCCGTGGGCTAATGCCCCTCCCCACACCTTTTCTGGCTCCCAGCTTTCTAACACACACACACATACACGCACGCACGCACACATGTACACACGCACACTGCTTCAAACACACACATATTCTCTCTCTCTCACATACACACACACACACACACACACACACTGCTTCAAACACACACATATTCTCTCTCTCTCACATACACACACACACACACACACACCACACACACACACAGAGGCCTGTGAAGTCCCATTGTGTGCCTGCAGCCTATGACAAATGAATGAGCTGTGACTCACAGGCCTGGCATGAGTCTCCAGGCCCCACAAACAACAGCTACCTCCCCTCACTCTGGGCCCAGGCTGCCCCTTCCCCCTGACACCTCCCACCCCCTCTGTGGCCTGGGTGGGCCCAGGGGTGCCCTTTGGGCCTAGAGCTCTCCTGCAGCTGGTGGCAGAGCTGGCAGTCAGTCTCTGAGAGGGAGGGGACCAGGTGGGGGTGGGGTGGGGGTGGCTGGAGGCCAGGCTTTGGCAGGATCGGGTTAGGGCAGGTTCTGTTTCCTGAAAATGCCAAGTTGGGGGCTGGGATATAAATCCCTACTCTGGGCACCTGGCCCTTTGCTTTCCTTCCTGAGTCTCTCTCTGCCATCTGGTGTGGTGAGTACCTCTGTCTTGCTGAGGGCTGGGTGGGGAGGACCTCCTACGGGCCTCTGCCTTTGTCCCTTTGTCGATGTTTTTCTCTATAATTTTCTCGTTCTGGCTTCCTTGGTAGTCAGCTTGGAGCCTCTCTGCATCTCTCCTATTTGGGGAGGATCTTCTATGAAGTGTCAGTTTGAGTTTTTTTTCCCTCAGCTCCTCTGTAAGGTCTTAGTTTAGGGGTTACTCTGAGGTTTTCTCTTGGGTCTTAGTCTGGGGGCTCCCTGTGGGTCTCTCAGTCTGGGCGTCTCGGTCTAGAGGCTCTTCTTGGGGGTCTAGGCCTAGGAGTACGAGGAGGTGTGTATGTAGGTGTTTTAACAAGATTCCTGAGTTTGTTTTTTGCAAAGTTCTGGATTCTAACAGGACTAAGGAGCAAGAGCCAGGGATCTCCAGGGCGTGGGCTGCTGGGGTCCACCCCGAATAGCAGCGTAGCTCTGCCCACTACAGCTTCCTGTCTCCCGCCCTGCTGCTGGCTGGGGTTTTTCTTGCCTCTGTCACCAGCTCCTCTGGCCGCATCTTGGGCTGGTTTGAGCATTTTCAGAAGCAGGATCTTGGGAAAGATGACCCTTGAGGTCTGTCCCTGTGTCCCCAGATTCCACCCTGATCTCAGGACAATGGATATTTAATTTCTTTCATTCCAAACCCAATAGTATCCTTCCTAGTGGGGAGGGTGTTCATGCTCCGTCTGTAAAGAGCCAGCACCCCAATATGAAGGGAGACATATTCCCTACCCTCTAAGAGCCCCTAGTCCTAGGGGGGAAACATCTCTGCCTGAGGGAGAGTCCATTTAGATGGGAGGGTGACACCCTTCGGTCTAAGGAGCCCGTTTGAGGATGAAACCAACTCAACTGACTCCTCAGGGAACCCTATACCCCTAGGCTGCAGCCATGGTTACTGCCCTAGCCCAGTGACTCCTCATTAACTAGCCCATGGCTATGCCTGTCACCCCAGTGTTGGCATAGAGCCCATTGGCCAGGGAAAGAACCAAATGGGACTCTGGTCACCCTGTCATTTCCCTTCCCACAGACACTCAAAAGGGGGAGCCCTGCCCTTGGAGTATGTGCCAAAGGTGATCAGAGGAGACATGAAGTCCTCCCTTGGTGACTTCCAAACACAGGGGAAGGTTTGGCATCGCCCTCAGTGCGAGGTGGAGGTGTGGCCCCAGGGAACCACCATCTGAGGGGGAGATGCAACTCCTGCCTTTCCATTCAGAGAGGGGTTTGGAGAGGCAGTTCAGGGCACGAGGGCAGAAGTGCATCCTGCATGCTGGGCTGAGGCGTCTCCATCACCTGTCACCTCTTTGGCTCCAGATCCAAGATGTCCAGTCCCCTGGAACAGGCGTTGGCTGTGATGGTTACTACCTTCCACAAGTACTCTGGCAAGGAGGGTGACAAGTTCAAGTTGAGTAAAGGGGAGATGAAGGAACTTCTGCACAAGGAGCTGCCCAGCTTTGTAGGGGTGAGTGGGGCTGGCCTAGGGCGGGAGGGTCTGGTGTGTGAGTGTAGGGGCACCAGTTAAATCTCTTCTCCCCTCCCCCAGGGTGCCTGCAGAAGCAGACACCAGGGTGTGGCCAGGCCCTTCATGATCTCACTGGAGCGGGTGTGAGGCCCATGTGTGAGAGCCCTCTTCTGGCCATTCCCTGCATCTTTCCAGAGAACGGATGTGCCTTCAGTGCCTTCAAGGTCTATCTGTTCAATCCCCTCATTGGAGATTTGAGCAAACCAGAGCCCAGAGAGGGGAAGTGCCTGGCCCAAGACCACACAGCTCTCTGTGTCTCTCTCTTTTTTTAAAAATATGTTTTTATTGATTTTTAGAGAGAGAGAGGAAGGCAGAAAGAGAGAAAGAGAGAGGAGAAAGAGATAGATAGAAACATTGATGAGAGAGACACATCTATTGGCTGTCTCTTGCATGCCCGTCACTGGGGATTGAGCCTACAACCCAGGAATGTGCCCTGACCGGGAATCGAACCGACATCCTCACAGTCCATGGGTCGATGCTCAACTACTGAGCTATACCAGCTGGGTTTTATTTCTCATTTTTTATATTTATCTGCCAAACTAAGGTGTGTTGGGGCAGAAAGGTCCAGCTAAGACACACACCCTGAGACATTTGCAGAAAAATGCAGTCAACTTTCTTTCTTTTTTTAATCCTCACGGGGGACGTTTTTGCATTTATCTTCAGATAGAGCAGGAGGGAGAAAGGGAGGAAGAGAGAGAGAGACACATGGAGTGGTTGCCACCCACACGACCCCAACCAAGGCCAGCGACAAACTGTAACCGAGATACGTGCCCTTAGCGGGAACCGAACCCGGGACTCTTTGGTCCGCAGGCTGACGCTCTAACCGCTGAGCCAAACCGACCAGGGCTATGCAGTCAACTTTCAGTTTTCCCCTCACCCTCCCTGTATCCCAAAGTCAGGTCTCAAGTTCTGAACATATGAAGCATGTCCTTCTTTCCTCTAAAAATACTTTTTGATCAAAATTTTAGAATTGGGTTTCATTTTGGCTGGTATTAAAAAGAGGCTGGTGATGGAGAGTGGCGGTGGCTCCAGAAAGCTTTTTTTTTAAAGTTAATATCCAGAAAGCTTTAGATTTTTCATCATCAAAATGGGGGTATGATGCCCACCTCACTGGGCCCCTGTGGAGAGTAGAGCTGATCATCTGCTTACGGGGCACCTGGCATGCCCGCTGCTCCCATCAGGGAGAGTTGGGGGCGCTCACCAATGAGCCTCCCTCTGTCCTCACTCATAGGGCCTCTCAGTAGCTCCCAGAGGCTCTCTGCCCCCTGCTCACCAGGCTGCCCAGTTCGAAGGGAGAGCTGGATTCTGACCAGTGGGTGTGTATTTGGGGTGGAGGTGGGGTAGGGAGCGGCCTGGTGATGACTCCACTCTCTCTTGCTTTCAGGAGAAGGTAGATGAGGAAGGTCTGAAGAAGCTGATAGGCAACCTGGATGAGAACAGTGACCAGGAAGTGGACTTCCAGGAGTATGCTGTTTTTCTGGCCCTTGTCACCATCATGTGCAACGACTTCTTCCAGGGCTTCCCAGACCGGCCCTGAAGAAGAGCTCTTGGCTCCCTGTCATGGGTCTCTTGGGCCCAGGAGGACTTTCTATCCTTTTCAGTTTTGTACCCAATAAACTTTTTTGTTTGTTGATAATATTGTAATTACTCAGTGATACCCTGTAACCTGGCTGACAACGTTGCAGTGCTGAAGACGGAGGGCCTCCTAGATCTGCTCCCTTTCTGGACCCTAACTCTTCATCTAGAAGTCTCTCCAAGGCCAGAGATGTGCCTTAGGTCCCACACTTTGGGGTTTCAAATACCAGTACAAATTGGGAAATTGGGATGGTTTGTTAATGTTTTTTAAAAAATTAATTTTAGAGATAGAGGAAGGGAGAAGGAGGGAAAGAGAAACAGAGAGAGAAACATCGATTGGTTGCCCCCTGTATTCACTCCAGCCAGGGATTGAACCTGCAATGTAGCTATGTGTCATGATTGGAAATTGAACCCAAGTTCAATTAGGACAATGCTCCAAATGAGACACCCAGCCAGGGCCCTTTGCTAATTTTTTTTTTTGCCAAATAAAGATATTAAAAAAAGGCAAATCCCATCTACCATCACTATCATTTCATTAAAAATTCCAACAAAGAAGGAAAGATATAATCTCAGAACAAAGGACAGACTTTGACATTCAATACTGTGAGCAGCCAGTTGTATTAGGATCTACTCAAGAGACAAAAGTTAGTTCAATCAACCAGCAAGCTTCATAAAAACTTTTTGTCCAATGACAGGCCATAGACAGTGTTCCTGGTTTCAGCAACGCTGTATTTCTTTTTATATCTGCTTTCAGATTGGCTAGCTCTGGCTAGAGTTCATTCCTCTCTTGTTGGTCTCTGCTGAAAACTACTAGCAGCTAGTTCACATCAACATTCTGATTGTTTTCCTACCATTTTCCCTAAAATTGTATCTTAAGTTACCATATATTATGTATTCTATGGTGCATTATCAGATATTAGTTTGACCAAATGTTTTGCCATCTCATAACAAGTTCACTAACTTTCCAGTTTGCAAAGCTTATGTCCTCACATTTTATTCTTGTCTCTCTTCACCTAATTCCACATTTTGGGTTCTTTTTGTTTTTAATTTATAGATCTCACATTCTAGTTACCAAATTCTCTACCAGTTAGGAATATATCCAGTTGTAAGTTACAGGAAACCTCACGAACAGTAGCTTAAATAAATTGGCATTTGAATGCCTCATACAGCCCTGGCCGGTTTGGCTCAGCAGTTAGAGCGTCGGCCTGCGGTCCAGAGAGATCTGGGTTCGGTTCCTGCTAAGGGCACATATCTCTGTTGCAGTTTGTTCCTGGCCCTCATTGGGTTGTGTGGGTGGCAACCACTCGATGTGTTCCTTTCACGTCGATGTTTCTCTTTTTCTCTCTCTCTCTCCCTCCCACTCTATCTGAACAAAAAATGGAAAAATGTCCTCGGGTAAGGATTAAAAAAATAAAAAAATAAATGCCTCATACAATAAAGAAGTCTGGTGTATGAAATTCAGATTTACTTCAGTGACTCAAAGATACTGTTCTGGTTACCTATTGCTGCATAACAAACTACCCTAGCACTTGGTGAATTAAAATGTAAATTTTTTATCTCTCAAGATTCTGCGAGAAGACTGGGATCAGTTGATGGGGTTTCCACTTGAGATCTCTCATTCGGTTGTGAATGGAAGTTGGGGCTGGAGTAATCTGAAAGTTCAAATGAGCCTGGCTGGAGTGGCTCAGTTGGCTGGGCTTCGTCCTGTGCACGGAGAGGATGATGGTTGATTCCAGGTCAGGGTACATACCTGGGTTGTAGGTGGTGCGATCCCTGGTGGGGATGCATATGGAAGGCAACCAATCAGTGCCCCCCACCCCCCCAGGAATGTCTTCAGGTGAGGATTAAAAACAACATTAAAAAAGAAAAAAAAAGTTCAAATGAACTTCCAGGGTCACTCACTCAATATACCTGGCAATTGATGCTGGTTGTCAGCTGGGAGCTCAGCCAGGGCTGGCATCTGGAATGCTTACCTATGACTTCTCTCTGTGGCTTAGGCTTCTCAGAACTTGGTTCTCAGAGGGACTGTCCCCAAAGTGAGCACCCCATGAATCCCAAATAGGAGCTTCAAGCCTTCTTAAGATTTATCTCAGAAATCCCAGAACATCAATTCTGCTGCATTCTATTGATCAAGCAAGTCATTTTGTCTGGCTCATATTCAAGGGGAGGACAATTAGGCTCCATCTCTTAAGGTGAAATAGACAGCAACTCTCTTCAGAGACTATCATCATCTTGTTGTCTAGTAACCACAGTTCATGGTTCATTCCATATGCAAAATGCCCTCACCTCCTTCCCAAGACCCACAACATCTCATCCCCTTAAGGCATCAATTTGAAGTCCAGGATTTTGTTGTCAGGTCAAGATGTGAATGAGACTTCTTAGGTGCAGTTCCTCCAGTATAGCTTTCAAGAATAACTTTTCTTGACCTGAAGATCTGTGAACAACCTGAAATTGAGTCAAACATGTCACCAGATTCTTGATTAGGGTTCAGCTCTTCTCTCTATAAATGGTTCTTAGCTCTACCCTCTAGGCTCTTGGTTTTATTTTCTGAATTAACTCTTTCTTTTCCATTAGAAATGTCTGTGTTTGCTTCTTGCCCATAGTACGTTAAAGACCCAAAGCTTCTTTTTGTTTTCAGATATCTCTGTCCCTTTCAGTCCAAGAAGATACAATTCTTTTAAAAGTGTTATTGGCTTCCTATGTATTAAGTTATAATTCAATTAATTAGACCAAAACCACACTTACACACCTCTTTGAGACTGGCCCTCCTCTACCTTAGACCGAGAGTCAGGGTGCTATGAGAAAATGCCCATTTTTTGTTTTATTTTAAATGTTTTTATTGATTTTAGAAAGAGAGTAAAGGAGAGGGAGAGAGAGGTAGAAACACCAACGAGTGAGAAACATTGATGGGCTGCCTCCTGCACGCCCTCCACTGGGGATATAGCCTGAAACACGAGGGCATGTGCCCCGACTGAGAACTGAATCAGAGACCTCCTGGTGCATGGAATGACACTCAACCAACTGAGCCATACTGGCTGGGCAACAGAAAATGCCCTTTTGATTCTTTAAAAAAAAATGTTTTTACTGATTTTTTTTGGTATATGCCCCTTGTGAGAACCGAACCCAGGACTCTCTGGTCCACAGGCCAACGCTCCAACCGCTGAGCCAAACTAGCCAGGGCTTTACTGATTTTTTTAAAAGAAAGAGCAAAGGAGAGGGAGAAAGAGAGTGAAAATCTTCTGCATGGCCCCTACTGGGGATTAAGCCCAGAACCCAGGCATGTGCTCTGATTGGGAATTGAACTGGAGACATCTTGGTGCATGGGATGACGCTCAACCCACTGAGCCACATTGGCCAGGGCACTGTTATAATTCTTAAAGCCCCTCTTGTCTGACAAGGTCTAGGAGGCACACTTCTAAAATTATTAGACGCCATATCATTTATCTGAGAAGATCTATGAGACTTGCCCTTAAATCTTTTTGAGGTTTTTATAAAGGGTTTTGCCTTATCTTTACCCTGAGACCCTTTTTATTGGCAGGGTCCTGCATTTGATCGTTGCCCTGTGGTCATTTATTACACTGAGAGCCATTTACTGGCTGGAAAGACAGTCCTGAATCCTCTATATTTCCTCTAAATTCTGCTAAAAAACCGAACTGTTTCTTCTTTAATTCATCTTTGTCTTCTCATATTTTATCATCAGCAGCGAGAAGAAACCAATCGGCAATATTCTGTCCAAAAATCTCCTTAGCAGAGCCATGAGTTAGTTCATTTGGTACCCTTTTCTATTTCCATTAGGTACCCTTTATATTTTTCTCATTATCACAGAAAGTAATATTTCCAGATATCCCACTGCTATATAATGGGGTTTGCCTTGTCTTCAAATTCTAGTAACAAATTTTCACTGTCCTTTAATGATTACTAATAACCTCTTTGAGGTAATTCTAGCTTTCATTCATTGACTGGTCCCAAAGCCATTAGGTTTTTGTAATAGCAGTATCTTACTCTTGCAGGTCTTTTTAAAAATGTTTTATTCTCACCTGAGGACATATTTGCATTTATCTTCAGATAGAGCCGGAGGGAGAGAGGGAGGAAGAGAGAGAGAGAAACATCGATGTACATCGACTGGTTGCTACCCACACAACCCAGCTGGGGCCAGGGACAAACTGCAACCGAGGTACGTGCCCTTAACTGGAACTGAACCTGAGACTCTGTGGTCCACGGGCCGACACTCTAACCGCTGAGCCAAACTGGCCAGGGCTTGTAGGTCTTTGATGAAAGATGCAAGGAGCCTACTTATGCTTTCTAAACTTTTCCTACCACTTCCTCTATCACTACACCACGGTTTCCATTTGGTCGGCACCCCAAGATATATCAGGGGGCAGTTTGACCAAATATTTTCTCATTTCATATCAAAGGTCTCAGACTTTCCAGCTTGCCTTGCTGGAGTCCCCATGCCTTGCTGCCTTCCTTCCTCCACTTAGCCAAGTCCACATTTCATTCTTCTACTTGAAGGTTTCAGATATAAAATTATTTTCTACTGGTTAGGGATTTATTCAACTATGAGTTGCGGAAAACTAATAATAGTGGCTTTAATTGTCCTACATAGCAACAAGTCTGGAGTAGGCAGTTCAGGATTGGTTCAGGGGCCCAGAGACGCTGTCTGACACCCAGCGTCTTCTCATTTTTTTTGCCCTGTAATCTATAGCATGTATACTTTTCTCCTTATGCTTGTTGCTTCATGATCACAACATGGTTGCTATACCTCCAGGTCTCACCGTCCATGTTCCAAGCTGAAAGACAGAGAAAAAGTTAGGTGCAAAACATTTACTCCTTTGCCTTATTTTTTTCTTCTTCTATATTGATTTTAGAGAGAGGAAGGGAGAGGGAGAGAGAGATAGAAACATGGATGAGAGAGAACATCAATTGGCCGCCTCCTGCAAGTCCCTCACTGAGTATTTGGCCCACAACCTGGGCATGTGTCCTGACTGGGAATCGAACCAGCGACTTCTTGGTGCATGGGTTGATGCTCAACCACCAGCCATACCAGCTGGGCATCTCCTTT